TATATATATATATATGTGTGTGTGTGTGTGTGTGTTTATTTATTTTATTTATGTCATGTGTGTGTATTTATTTATTTTATACCAGCATATTTAGGGGCTGATTGGAGTCTGTTTCCATTGCAAATACATTCATTCACTCATTCATTTATACAGATATTTTTATAGGCTAGTTGGAGGCAGTCCAATTTTAGTCCAACTGACAGTCAGACTAAAGGGTTTTTAGTCTGATTGAAGTGCAAAATTATTAACTTTCTGTCTCTCTTACCAGGTATATTTCAAGCGGGATGGAGAGTTGATAGAGGTGATCTCCTATGTTTCATCCACCGTGGGTTACGAGGGTGGTGGCCCCGCTGGTGTGCGTGGAGCCAGACCTCTGATCAGCAGGGATCTGGATGACACTAAGCTGAGAAAGTCTCTATCTCTGCTGGGTCCGGATGGCAGGCCCGGACGCCTGAACACAGAGAGCCCTGGGCGGAGCTACATGGCCAGACAACCCGGCCAAGAGCCCAGCCCGGCCACAGAGACCATCCCAGAGACAGTGGTCAACCGAGAGTTCCCACGCTGGGTTCAGAGCACTGACCCCCTGTACTACTTCAGCAACGCGCAGATCCCCCAGAGCGACGGGTCTGTGCTGGTTCAGGCCAAACTCACCTGGACTCTGAATCCGCAGTTGGACAACGACGCCCTGTTTAGCTGCGAGATCACGCACCCGGCTCTCTCCATGCCTATGCAGACTGAGGTCATACTGGGTAAGCTTTTTGTTGGCTTTAACGTTGATTTGGCAGGATGCAGATCTTTAGATCAATGTGAAAGCTTTGTTTTTGACCTTCAACCTTGTTATTCACCTCCCCTCGTCTGATCGTGGGTGAATCCTTTTACATCCCCATCTGACAGATGCAGTGAGACCAACACTGGTTTCTATTTGATGCTTAATTGTGTTACAGGCAAGCAGATTGCAGTTACTAATGCAGAATACAAAATCTCCCAGTGACTGACAGGCCAATTCATTGAACTGACTGCGCAGTAGATTGAGTTAACTTAACCACGTTATTGAAAAAGTCAACCTGAATTAAAGAAATCAAGCATAAAAGGAATTTCACAGTGCGCTCAAAGACAGCATTGTTGCTAGATCTCACTGTTGCAACCCACTGATAATCGTAAAAAAGTCTACCGTCTTCTAATCAAGATGCTAAAACGGGGATATGCCAAACTGCTTGTTGTGTTTCATATTTGTGTCAGTGAAATTGGTTTGTTGCGTTCACTTGTTTATACTGTAATGAAAGTTGT